ATATTTTGTGCTCCTCTTTTAGGGCTGGAGAAGAAGACTCAGGTATTACAACCCACTGAGAAAAAGACTGTAGCCTATCATGAAGCAGGCCATGCTGTCGTGGGCTGGTTCCTCCAACATGCTGACCCACTGCTCAAGGTCAGGGCCCGAAATCTAGGATTATAGCTTATATTGAGTCATTCGTCTGTAAATTGTTTTATTGAAATGTATGTGTTCCAGGTTTCCATAATTCCTCGAGGTAAAGGCCTGGGCTATGCACAGTACCTCCCGAAAGAGCAGTACTTGTACACCCGCGAGCAGCTCTTCGATAGGATGTGTATGATGCTGGGCGGGCGAGTGGCCGAGCGGGTGTTTTTCGGCAGGATCACGACTGGGGCTCAAGACGACCTTAAGAAGGTCACGCAGTCAGCGTACGCTCAGGTGCAGAGATTGGGCTTGCTCTGTGTGCTACACAATTTCCATTTAGCAGAAGCTTTTATCCAAAGCAATGTACAATATAGGAACAGTTCATTTTGAGTAGAGCTGAAACTGACATTCAGAATAGTCAATGAATCACTTTAACAATCATTAGATTGTTAGCAGAAAATATTTGTTAATGCAATGATTGAACAACACATTGGTGATAGCTCATTAGGGTCGAGTATCATTTGAATTTTAACGATTTCGATTCTGCTTATCGATTCCTAATTTCGATTCAAATTGGGTAAAAAAAACAATAACTTGGATATCATTCACATTTAGTCTTCTTGCAAAACATTTCATTGTTGCTGAATATCATGAACAAAAATCAACAGGTGAAAGAAAACACTTACACAAGGAGCGTTTGCCTGTGGTTTAAAAATACCATAGTGAAAACAACTAGCCTCACTTAAATAAATTTCAAGCATTATTAAAGACAAGTTAACACTCAGAAATTTAAAAGAACAAATAAAAAATTTACAATCGCAACAAATCGATAGAACTGAACAAAGATACGTTTGATATAAACAGTGTTTTAAGATTTTCAGGTACAGAAACTGTAGCCAAATATAAATAACACTGCACTTTATAAATATATGTGGCGAGCAGGACGAGGTGGAGGGCCGTGAGAGATACGAGACCGGTGTCGTTCATCATTGATCACGCCACCGGCCTCGCGCCGCTCTCTCACGGCCCTCCACCTCGTCCTGCTCGCCACAATATACATTACAAATATAGCTACAAAAGTTATTCAGTCAAGAACAGCGAGTGAATTTTGTCTTTGTCTTTTGTTTGATTCGTGTTGTTATAGAGAGCAGCAGGAATATTAGGTTGCTGTCACTTTAAGACCTGCACAATACACCGTTACTCGTGTGTTCAGCACAGAAAACAGCGCGAGTCGTCTCGCGCTTTAAAGCCATATTAAAATGCACACAAAGGAATCGATAAGAGGAATCGAAATTTGTATTTAATAACACATTTTTGATTGACACTATCTTTATTTGACAGTTGTCTTCCCCTACTTTTCTCGTAGATTGTGCAGTTTGGCATGAGTGAGAAAGTGGGTCAGGTGTCCTTTGACCTTCCCCGGCAAGGAGAGATGATTCTGGAGAAGCCCTACAGCGAGGCCACGGCAGAGCTCATAGATGAGGAGGTCAGAAATCTGGTGGACCGGGCCTTTCAGAGAACACTGGAGCTCGTCTCTGAGAAACGAGAGCAGGTGGAGATGGTGAGAACATCTGGCAGCGCGGATTTACAGCTTTAAATGGAGGGACGCATAACTAGTGGCCATTACAAAAGCTAGTGAGCTGCGGAGTGCCTCAGGGTTCAGTCCTGGGTCCCATTATTTTTCTCATCTACTTGCTTTTTCCTTTTAATAATGCAGCATAGCTGTATAATCTTCAGCTTAGCTCTACCACAAAGCAGAGATTTTAGTTCATACTAAGAGATTTGAGTGAAGTTAAGCTTTCAAAGTCACCTGCTCAGCCACATTTTATTGGTTGTCTGGTTGATGCAAATATGCATTTGTTTTTGCGAATAGGTTGGAAACCGTTTGCTGGAAAAAGAAGTTCTCGACAAAGCTGACATGGTAGAGTTGCTGGGACCCAGGCCGTTCGAGGAGAAGTCCACGTATGAGGATTTTGTGGAGGGCACTGGCAGCTTCGAGGAAGACACGAGTCTTCCCATTGGGTTGAAGGACTGGAACCAGGAGAGAGGAGAGATCCAGGAGGAGCCTCCAGCTTCACAGGAAAAACAGGCTGCTTGAATGAACACCGCCTGCCTCTGAGACTTGCCTTACTGTGGGGACTCTGGGCTGAAGAAAAGATTTGTGAATTTTGTTGGTATTTGCATTTCACTTCCCTTGTTAATTCTAAGCAGGGGACGTTTATTGAATTTGAAATGCCTTAATGCAAAGATTATGTCGCCATAAACTATGCTGGATAAACTTTAACACCGGACACCACAAACTCTTTATTGACAGATCAGGAACTCAGAATTATCCTTTTAGTTATTTCTTTTATCCTTTAATTTCTGCCATTATATCATAAACTGAATTCTATCCTTTTAGCTACTCTTCCCCTTAATAGAAGTGGAAGAAACAACTGTATATTTGTACAATTTTCATTTGTGTGTTCTAAGAAAAAAGTTTTGAAAAAGATATTAAATTAAATGAGTCCTTTCACACATTTTACAATGTTTTTTTTTTTTTTTCAACACTTACAATATTAGTCAAGGTTTCTTGCACCAAAAACAGACCTTATTTTTTCTCATGACCGATTTCCACCTTTTTTTTTCTTACCCTTTATTTAGGTCATTTATGCAGCTTGTATTTTGATCCTTGTATACGCATGTATGAATTCACCACTTCATCAGGGTTATATTTACAGCGTCTAATCTACAGAAAGATCATATCCTTTTTTCGGCGCTTAAAAGTGTTTTGTTATATTGTATTTCTAGCCCTTAGACTGACATCAGCAGAAGTAGGGCAACGCTAGATGATTTATCACATTCTGTTCATCAGGGACACTCGTTTTAGATGGGTGAGATTTAGCCAAGAAACATCCAGAATCGGTGCTATCTATGATGTTGTGAGCTACAAATCTCACTATTATTTGTGGTTGTTAAAGTATGAGAGAGAATAAAAGCCCAGTGTAAGTTTGTGCATCTTCTTTATGAAAGGCTTGTGCAAAAGCACCGTTCTTTAGACTGAATGATGATCACGTGAAGTCTTCTGGATCCTGCTATCACGTCTGTTCTAGTAAATTGTACCACACTGACTCCATTTAGAGCTAATTGGCAGGTTGTTGTGTCACAAGACTTGCTTTGTACAGTAATAGATACAGTAAAGTATATCGGGGAAAAACAGCCTGACCATTGACATTTTTCACATTTATTCCCGTTATATTTTTGCCCTCCTTGATTTGACTGTTAATGATTCTGGTAGTTAATACATTTCTTCTCCGATGCGACCCTGTGTATAGATCATGCTTGACATCATTGAACCCTGTAATAACCCTGGTAACATATACAGTACAGATTTATTTGCACAACAAACTTTTATTCTTTAGGATCTGTATTTGAAACTCCCCACCCGATAGCTTTCTTCTCTTTGAGGATTATATGTGAATCAGGTATATTTTAAGACACAATTTCTTGCTGTGCACCGGTGATCACACAATTTAGGCCTTTGATGATGTCTTTTATGTTCAATTGTTAATAAATGACATTTAATGATACAGAGCAGTTAAAAAACATATTGCTGAAAGATTATTCACCCTTACATCCATTCAAATGCAACTTTTGCAATTGCTTTACTCAATAAGTTAGGCCAGAAACATAATCTACGCAAGTATTCTTGTGTGGTTCTGTTGTACATGATGTGCGTTCCTGTTACTGTTGCAGTGACAAACCTCAGTACTCAATGGGGAGATGAGTTACCTTCACAAAGTTGGTCAAAATTAAAATAACATGTTCAACATTATTCTCTTAAACTGCTGCACCATGATTCCCAACCTTTTGGATGAGGTCTTACTTCTGACCTATTCATCTGATGTCTTGGAGTGTACTAATGATCTTGAATCAGGTGTGTTTGTTTGGGAAGAGTTTGGAAATCTGTACTGTGGGTGTGGCTCCAGCAACAGGGTTGGAAAACACGGCCATTTTGTATGCCTCTCTTATCTTTTTATGAGAGAGTTGCATGAACTGAGCTGCGCTCATATTCCCCTAAGCCATGTTCACTGCTCCCTATTGGGCATAGCATAAAATACTGGACACTTTTGGTTTATGCTAAGCCCACCCCACACCAATGTTGAGGATGCTACGTAATTGTGCTGCAATATGAACTGCGTTCTGACAAATTTTGAAACTGAATGAAGCATTGAATTGAGCTGATGTAGCTCGAAGTGTCTGTTCATGTACTTGCGTAGGGCATGTTTTAGGCCTAAGGTCCTTGCACACAGAGTCCGAAATTTTCGTATGCATTTATTCGTATTTGTCATCCTAAAAATTCGTCACGCACAGAAACCGAGTCTGATGCGTATGAATTAATCTGTAGCGGGAAAAAATCGCAATACAAATGGAGTCTTCAAGCAGTGAGGATGATTTTGTTGTCCTCGCTCTTCTTAAACGGAGGGAACAAAGAGGAAATATTGGGTCCATCCAATCCTGAGATTGCGTAGAGGAAGGAGAGTTCGCTGCGGGATTATCCCGAGCGATTCAAAGTTTACTTCAGGATGTCAGCGGCTCAGTTTGATGCTTTGCTAGCGATACTGGAGCCACATATTAAATAGAAGACCACCAATTTCCAAAAGAAATTGATCCTGAACAGTTCTGGAGTTTGGCGTTCGCTTGTACGGAAATTGAAATTGAATTTTTTTATGACAGCCGAAAGTTTCGGAGGCAGTGTGTAAACGTGATTGACAACATGAGGTCGTATTTATTTTTTAACGTGCGGAAATCTCAGACTCAGTGTGCTGACTCAGACTCACCTTTAGGCCTAAAATGTTGTATTCACTTTGATTCTGGGTCTCCCATTTTCATGCGGAATCTCCTCGAAGGACACTTTTGTTGTAACTTCTCTCTGTCCCTTCACACAGGTATTTCCTGAACTTCGCTGTGGGCTCGTCACAGTTGCTGCCTCGACACATTGCTCTGGTCCTTAAACAGTTCCTTGAAGATTCAAATCACTGTGTAATTCCTCAGTCGCTCCTTGGATTCATGGTGTGGTCCATAATGCTACATCTTGCTTCAAGTTCTCTGAAAGACTGAAAGTGACTAGGTCCCAAAGAGGCGGCCCAAAATCCTGTTTGGATAAAGTCTGTTCCATCTTGAGGAAGAGTCTACACTTATCCCAGCTAATCGGAGCTGTCTTCTTGCCCATAATGGACGAAGGGATTGCATTATCTTTAAGTGGGATCACCATGTCCTTTGATCCCTAAGGTTCCCCGTCTCCTTGCTTGACCAGGAACCTCCCCTCTCCAGACAAGGGCTGAGTCCTCTCCCCAAGCCCCTGTAGCTGGCCTGGCTCAAGGCTGCTGGGATTGAGAGCGCTCTATCTTCAGCATTGGCTCTGTGTTCTCGGAGTCGCTGTGGTGCTTTCGATCTCTCGGCTGCTGATCCCCTTTTCCCCCGCGGGTCCAGGAGGGTGAGCGCACGTACCCGCTGTGGGGGAATCTAGGTAACGGCGGCTGCTGGCGATCTGTGGGGCGAACTTACAAAACCATCCAATGAAAAACAACTTCATAGCCAGTCACAACAAAGAAAAGGCTATAGTTCTGTTCCAAAACCTAGTGTACCGCCTACCTAGATGGCATTTTTTAAGTCACCGTATGACATGAAGACTCTTCATGAACAGATTGGCATCAAGGTTTAGATCAAGGGTGCTCAATCCTGTTCATAGAGATCTAGCTACCTGCAGAGTTTAGATCCAGCCCTGATCCAACACCCCTGTCTGTAATTAGCAAGTGCTTTTGAAGATCTTTTTTAGCTGGTTGAGTTGTTTAATCGGGGTTTGAGCTGAACTTTGCTGGAAGGTTGATCTCTAGCAACAAGATAGGGCACATCTGGTTTAGAAGTTGTCTTCTAAGGGGCTTACACGACACCGGTTTCAACTTAAAACTTTGGTAACGCTTCCTTTTACAGTCCTGTTACCCATGTACTTACTATGTACTTATTATAGTAATTATAATTACTGGGTAATAACTAGGTACTAACCCTGAACCTACCCCTAAACCTACCCCTAACCCATGTACTTACCTTATATTAGCCAGTACTTTCTAGGTAAGTACACTGTAAGTACACGTAAGTACTGTACTGTAAAAGGAAGCGTTACCAAAACTTTTTATGCATTTTGGCCGTTCATTTACACAACAACTGCATTTTGGGGGCCTGAAAACAAAAACTTTTGAAAACCGTCTCCATGTAAACAACAAAAACGCAAATCTCTGAAGACGATGATGTCATGCTTGTGTATTACGTGTTCAATCTATAGTGTTTCATCGCCATCTAGTGGCCCGGAAGCACAATACAGGAGTTTTCAGTCGTTTTCGCGGATCCGTGTGACTGGGGATCGTTTTGACAATGGTGTCGTCTGTACGCGGAAAACTCAAAGGAAAAACTTCTTCGTTTTAAGCATATGGTTGTCGTGTAAACGTGTACCCTCAGTTGCCTTGTTTTGGCCTAATTACTTAACACAGTCACACAACCATTTCAATCCACCTCTTGACGCAAGTGTCTTGCACTGATTTGACTTCCATAGGAAAAGCATTAGTACAGGGGTAGCAACCCTGCTTCTGTAGGGACACCATCCTGCAGAGTTTAGTTACAACCCTAAGCAAACACACCTGGACCAGCTAATCCAGGTGTTCAGGGTTTCTGGAGAGTGTGTTGAGCAGGGTTGGCTATCCCACTCTTTCCTGGAAGACCACTGTCCAGTTCAATTCCAACCCCAATTAATGACCTGAACCAGCTATTCAAGGTCTTCAGGATCACTAGAAACGTCCAACCAAGTCTGTTCAGGGCAGGTTGGAGCTGAACTTTGCAGGACGTTGACTCTCCAGTAGCAGGATTGAACACCCCTGGTTTTAGGGAAAGGGCATACATAACATTTATGTTTTAATCTCATGAAATGTCTTTGTCTTGTTGTTACAACTCGAAAGGTTAATGGCAATATTGAAACAGTTTGACCTGCTGACAATGGTGTCAAGAGTAGCTGTGTGAGTGGTCAATCACAGAGAGATCTTTAAACCAGTCACTAATGACGTCCCATCATGCTTCAGAAGATTTCTGCCTAGAACGCAAAGATGCTCACTAGGTTTTGGAATAGAGTTCATATAATTTATATCTGTTTTACTTCTCTCAGAAAGGGATTTGCAGTAACAAAGCAACCATTTTCAATGAGAGCTGGTAATCTGAGGGCACACGAGCGACAGACACTGCTGGTGTTCAGTTAAAGCCCAGTTCTGACAAGATGAGGCGAATACTATAGAGTGATGCAGGAATGACGTCACTTTGAAGGCCATCCGGCAGTTCGCATCACGCTGGTTCCCTCGAGAAAAACCCAGTAGGATTTTCCAAAAGGCTTTTTGGATTATTGCTCTGTGATCAACAAAAGTTTATGATGCATGCACGTTTTGTCCATCAAGATAATTGTCACAGATGAACAACTTTTATGAATTTTGAAGCCTAAATGCAGTCGCCAGAAGTAAAAAGCTAAAGGTAGGCTATAATTCAACGTCACCCTCACTAAGCTTCCAACAACTCTTTTATCTAAACACATTTCCCATAACGTTTGAGTTACAACAGTTTATAAGAGCACAATTATAAGTATAACGAGGCTGTAATGGTGGACTGAGTTTAGCTGTTCGGCTGATGACGTTTATCTCCTCGACAGACTTTGTCGTCGCATTTAGCCACTTATTAGCAACCGCCTTTTTCAAGACACGTAACAGCTCAATAAATCACGAGTGGGGCAGTACTGATGTTTTATATCCTAGAATAAAACGTGAAAGTGTCTTGAGCTTGTGTTCATCACAGACCTTATTTCAGCCATTTAACCAAAACCCCATTCAAAAAACCCATTGACTTCGGGACAAAGGAACTCGTTTTGGCCTACGAAGGGATGTCATACCTGCACCACCCTATATAGTTGTAAACGACAGTTAATTCAGAATACCTCTTAACAACCAAAAGTAAAAACATTACATGACCTAGTCATTGTGAGCACCTCTCAGCATCCATTTTAAAGGACAAGTTCGGTATTTTACACTTAAAGCCCTGTTTCAAGATCGTTTCTGATGAAATAGAACGGTTAAGATTAAAATTTGGACACATGCTGCTGTCCCGAGAAATTTCGGTTTCTATGGTCGCACCCCCCCACCTCTACAATGGTTGCATTGGTGCACAGAAACAATCCTTCAAAAAACGCATTAATATTTAGTTTACAAAGACGTGAAACTCACCGAGTGGTCAGGGGTGTTCACTGATATGCTCACACAAAAATCACTGCGAAAGATGCTTTCAAACAGGTTTTATCGTAGTTTTTGTCCAAGTCCATTTTCTTCCGGTTTTTGGTCGAAGTCCACAGTAGTCGATTGTCGAGTTTGCGTGCGCGATCCTTAGTTATCTAGTTACCAATGATCCCGAGCGCGAACTCGACCATTGACTACCGTTTTTTGAAGGATTGTTTCTGTGCACCTATGCAACCATTGTAGAGGTGGGGGGGTGCCACCACAGAAACCGAAATTTCTCGGGACAGCAGCATGTGTCCAAATTTTAATCTTAAGCCTCGTACACACCGGGACGAATATCGGCTCGCGTTATTCGTCAGCGTTTTTCAACACGTTTTTTGTGTTCACACCCAAGCGATTTTCGCTGACGATGAGCCGAGTGAACATGCAAATTCATTCCCTGACATTAGATGGCGCTTAATGTAAAACAGAAATACCCCGGTCCACAAAGTGGCGCTGCGCAACTACGCTTCTGACATTCGCTTGTCACTTAGAAGAAGAGAGCAAGTTTGTCGCGTTTGTCATATAGTTCTTTATTGTCGTTGGTGTCTCTTTATAAAGACACCAACAAGACCAGCAGCTCTACATTCATCTAGCCTTGCATCTTCCTCGTCTTATTTCTTCCCGCAAGAGTGTAGACGCTGTATATCTTCTTCGCCGTTACGTATGTGTGCTCGGCAAGACCGTTTTGTGTTTGAGCGCCCCCAAGTTGTGTTTTACTGTAACTTCAGAAGCTCCAGACACATGCGCCAATCTCATTGGTCGGATAGTTTTTGACGCGCTGCGTCAAACCAAAAAAACGAACCCGAGGCGTTTTTTAAAAAATGACGCTTTTACGCGTGCCGTTTTACGCGTCGGTGTGCACACTCACTTTGGCACCCATTGTTTAGTCACGAGGCGTTAAACGTCGGCGAATATCGCACGCGAAATTCATCCCGGTGTGAACAGGCCTTTAACCGTTCTATTTCATCAGAAACGATCTTGAAACAGAGCTTTAAGTGTAAAATACCGAACTTGTCCTTTAAGCACTGCCAAGTTGGGCCAAGACAAATGTTATTCACATAACTTGGAGAAAATTAAGGTAATTTAAAGTAATGCTCAGATATATTGCTCAGAGTTGAGGATGCACTGACATTGCCTCATAGTTTAAATATTTAATATGTACACATTTGTGCACTTCAGCTCAGGCCTTAATCAAATAATAATGTGTAGAGTTCCATGGAACCGACTGTACAATTCATCATTCTCTACTCGAAATGTTATCTGTTTTCTTTGTCTTGCTACACAGTGAACATTGTGTCGTAAACAATAGAGCGCTGCCGGAGTGAGTCCTAAAACACAGAAACTAGCATTTTTGCACATCCGGTTCCCTTGTCCCAAAGTCAATGGATTTTTTTTAAAGGGTTTTTGGTTAAATGCCTGAAATAAGGTCTGTGGTGAACACAAGCTCAAGAGATTTTCAAGTTTTGTTCTATGTAATAAAATACACAAGTAAAACCCCACTCTTGAAAAAAGTCTGTTAACAAGAGGCTGAATGGGGCTATTGTTGTGGACATTAAACGCCGTCACACCGAAAAGGCAACACTAGTGTGATTATACTTGCTCTCTTGCAAACGATTCTAACTTGTAGAGTTTAAATAAAGATTGAAATACCAGTCAGAAATGACACAGCGTTTAAATAATGGTATAGATTGTTTATTGTCTAACTTTAGCTTTTTACTTCTGGCAATTGTGTTAAAGCTTCAAAAATCATAAAGGTTGTGTTTATATGTGAAGATTATCTTTTAAAAGTCCCCCTGTGGTGAAAATCCAGTTTTTAATGTTGTTTATATATTTATGTGGTGTTTTTTATGTGGTGTCAAACCATGTGTAAGTTCATAAGTCGACAGCATTGCTGAGTATTTTCTGCTTAAAACTGCAGTGAACCAAAGACAGTCTCAAAAACACGGTGTGAAATCGCTGGTGTTTCTGACGTCACAAACGACCTTGTAACCAATCAGATCATTTGCATATTCATAGAACCACGCATACTAAATGAGGCAAGGGTGTCGAGTTACATTCAAGATATTTTAAAGGCGTGACAGAATGGATGAAAGAAACATTTAAATGTCATTTTGGAGATGGTTTTAAGGGATAAAATTATTGACTACATGGGGACTTTAAATCACAATAAGAATGATAAACTTTTGTTGATCCCAGAGCTTATTTTCTGCAATAATCATCGTAATAATAATAATAAATTGAAAGATTGTCTTTTTGTCGAGGGAACCAGAGTGATGCTTGTTTCAGCCATGACTGTTGGCTGAACGTCTGATGCATAAGGCACATTAAATGGGGAACATTTCGGTAGTTTCAAAGTCGTCATCTGATTGGTCCTCATGATACCAAACCCCCTCATGGAGGCCGTTGTGTACGACTTTTTAAAATGCGTCCACGAGTTTCACAGAACGGTCTGTTATTGTAGGGACATCGACTTCACATTTTCATGCCCCTAAACAAAAACGAACAGTGATTGGTTGCTCTGCATGTCGTTCAGACGGTCTTTAGCCAATGAAAGCTGCGATGGAGTCAGTCTAAAGCTCTGGCTGATCGAGACGCGTGTGATGCGAACGTTGGAAACTTGGTGTCATCCCTGCATCACTCTATTCATCTTCTGAGGACTGGAATGATTTCGCTAAATAGTTATCTAACTTCAAATCTGATATGGTAAGTAAAGATTAGTGTGTTGACTCACTGGCTGGGGACTCAGTATGGCTCTCCTCGTCCGAGTCGGCGAACACCTCCCCGAGCTCCTGGTCGGACATGTCTGTGAGCTCCGTCAGGTCCAGGAGGTCGAAGTGCACCTCCAGAGACGACACGCTGCTGAGAGGCTCTGCGATCGGGCACAAGACATCGTCACTGAGGCCAGGCCACCGCTAAAGAGCAATCACACTGTTCCTCGCTCAGACGTGTGCACTACTGATAGAGCTGCACGATTAATCGTTCAAAGATCGTGACCTCGATTCAAACACTCACGCGATCTCATTACTTAATGACTATGATTCGGCTCTGTCTATTAAACCTTCAGATCTGTGTTCTGATCCAGAGAGAGCCGTTGTCATGTATAGATATGAAACAGCTTCACAAACAGTCTTTTCAACATCACAGTATCATTATTTCTGTCTTACAATCATTCATATTATCGCAGAAGAACTGGGAGAAAAGTTTATAGTTCAGATTTAAACGCTGATTTCTACAGTAGTGATCAAAACAGAGTAAATCACCTTTAGAAAGTAACTTGACGCTTCGACGGTTAAATCATTAAGTCGGTACACCAGTAGGTGGCGACAAGTGACTGTTAAAAAAAATTGTCATTGAATCATTCATTTAAAGCAACACCAAGTAACTTTTCCTCTGCGGTCGCCCTACAGGTTGGAAGCGGAATTGTCCATTACTGCTGTCGTAAATAATTTAGCCTACCGCATCCTACTGTCGCACGCGCACACACGCACATGCTCTGTTTATCCGGCACCGGCTTTGGAATCATGATGACAATTCAAAAGCTACCCGGCTGCTAGGTATCTTACATGTAGTTGTAGTCTACTGTCGAGTGCGCTCCACCTATCGGCAATTGTAACACTTGCCGTAAAGCAAGTCAAATTTGTAGTTTTCTAATGTCTCATTCGGACTATAGAAACGCGACCCGATCTGGCAATCTTAGATAGCGTGGGTATATCAGATAAAGGACCGCAAAGCGGTGGCATAAGTGCATTTCACCATGTCACGACTTGATGAACCACTGAAACGATTTTGAAAACATTATTTTAAGGTAAAAAATCTTACTAAGTGTTGCTTTAAGAGATTCGTTCAAAAATGGTGGGGTTAGGGATCAGTGGGCGGAGATGTGTAGGATTAGGGGTGGGGTTATGGATCAGGGGGCGGATATGTGTAGGATTAGGGGTGGGGTTAGGGATCAGGGGCGGAGATGGGTAGGATTAGGGGTGGGGTTAGGGATCAGGGGCGGAGATGTGTAGGATTAGGGATCAGGGGGTGGAGATGGGTAGGATTAGGGGTGGGGTTAGGGATCAGGGGGCGGAGATGTGTAGGTTTAGGGGTGGGGTTAGGGATCAGGGGGCGGAGATGGGTAGGGTTGGGGTTAGGGATCAGGGGGCGGAGATGTGTAGGTTTAGGGGTGGGGTTAGGGATCAGGGGGCGGAGATGGGTAGGATTAGGGGTGGGGTTAGGGATCAGGGGGCGGAGATGTGTAGGTTTAGGGGTGGGGTTAGGGATCAGGGGGCGGAGATGGGTAGGATTAGGGGTGGGGTTAGGGATCAGGGCCGGAGATGTGTAGGATTAGGGATCAGGGGGCGGAGATGGGTAGGATTAGGGGTGGGGTTATGGATCAGGGGGCAGAGATGTGTAGGATTAGGGGTGGGGTTAGGGATCAGGGGCGGAGATGTGAAGGATTAGGGATCAGGGGGTGGAGATGGGTAGGATTAGGGGTGGGGTTAGGGATCAGGGGCGGAGATGTGTAGGTTTAGGGGTGGGGTTAGGGATCAGGGGGCGGAGATGGGTAGGATTAGGGTTGGGGTTAGGGATCAGGGGGTGGAGATGGGTAGGATTAGGGTTGGGGTTAGGGATCAGGGGGTGGAGATGTGTAGGATTAGGGATCAGGGGGTGGAGATGGGTAGGATTAGGGATCAGGGGGCGGAGATGGGTAGGATTAGGGATTAGGGGGCGGAGATGGGTAGGATTAGGGTTAGGGATCAGGGGCGGAGATGTGTAGGGTTAGGGATCAGGGGGTGGAGATGGGTAGGATTAGGGATCAGGGGGTGGAGATGGGAAGGATTAGGGATCAGGGGGTGGAGATGGGTAGGTTTAGGGGTGGGGTTAGGGATCAGGGGGCGGAGATGGGTAGGGTTGGGGTTAGGGATCAGGGGGTGGAGATGGGTAGGATTAGGGATCAGGGGGCGGAGATGGGTAGGATTAGGGGTGGGTTTATGGATCAGGGGGCGGAGATGGGTAGGTTCAGGTATATGTAAGGTGGGAGGAGTTGGATCTGGATCCAACTCCTCCCCCTGGATTTCGTGTTCTGCAGTGAGGACCATCTCTTATATTTCTCCCCCAAATCAAAAGAAAATAAAGTACATGGAGACAATTTTTAAACCATTTATTAATCTAGGTCAATGTTAAGGTCTATTGTAGTGAAGATGCTGTGACATCTTAATGGTCTTAATTTATGTTGCAAAAAATTTAACTCTTTCGATGGGGGGTAGAATATAGCCCAGACGTGTCCTCGACACCAGGTCCACTCACGTCGTTTCTCTGTGATCAGCACCTGGCTGCCGTAATGGGCCGGGGTGCCGACATGCTCTCCTGAGGCATTGTGGGACGCCTCGCTGGTGAGGCTGGCAGAGCTGGAGGACTTCAGAAGCTTCTGGAACTCTCGGTCTCTAAGTGGCTCTACAACGAAATCATAGAACATAGATTATAAAACGGTTACCACACAATTCAAATATTAAAGCCAAAAAATATGTATCAATGCAGCTGTCATGAAGTAAAATCACTAAAAGCCTTCCTTCCGCTGGAAAAAATAGTCCCTAACCATGAACAGCAACAGAGTTACATTATTTCGCCATTAGATATACAGAGCGACCGCAAAAACGGACGTTCAAAGACAATATTCTCTGGCGCATAACCTCTATAAGCTTCAATGAATGATATCAATGAGAATATATGTTTACGTTGCTAAGAGTGGTTGCTAGGGGTGTTGTGTAGTGATATATAGAACCGTTGTTTTATCGTTAATAGAACACAGCTATCGACCAATCAGAATCAAGGACTGGAACAAACCACATTATAATATAAAGTAATTTATAATGTGTATTTTTTGCACATTGCCACAATATTAGTGTGTTCTGGGGGGTAACCAGGTCGTTGCCATGCAGTTGCAGGGGCTTCTGGGTACTCGTGAGCACATTATTCGCCGGAGCATTGCTATGCGGTCGCTAGGGTGTTCCTCGTGTCCCGTTCTCTAATGGGGTTTGTCAGCGGTTGCCAGAGAAGTGAAACAGAAGATGCTTGTGTTTCACTCACTGTTTGAAGAGCTTCCAGACAACTATTGATTTCTGGCGGCAGCAGTCAAAGCAGACAAGCCTTTTATACGGCTGAAGGCAGTTCAATCACACACATGGGACATGAAAACAAGTGCACGACTGGATCTAAATATATATATATATATATATATATATATATATATATATAGAACTCACCCTAAAACTGACTATATCTCAATTCATTACGTAGATAGAAATATTTAAAGTTCCCCTATTATGCTTTTCTGAACTGTTGAAACGAGTCGTCAGTAATTCAGTCTCACTTCCTGCTGAACCTGCGTAGGTTTGTAACTAATTTGCATAATGTCAGTCAATGGTCTTGATTGGCTGAACGGTGTCTCTTGGCCCCGCCCATCAAACACTAGTGTATCTGCGACTGGAAGAGTTCGGTTCGTGTCGAGAAGACGCTGTTTTCTGAGATTGATACGGTCAAACCCACGCCATCGTTACTGTTCATATCACTGTGATCAAGAGCTGAGATTCAGATATGATGATGAGCGTTTGCTTTCTGACCAATCACAACAGACTGGGTCATCTGACCAATCAGAGCAGAGCAGTCTCTTAGAAAGGCGGGGTTTAGAGAGACTGAATCTTCGAACGAACCGTTAAAGCAGTGTTTCTCAACCTCTCCTGCAGGGACCCCCTGACAGGCCATGTTTCTGTTTTAACCCTGAAATGGCACACCTGATTCAAGTCATTAAAGGCTTAATGAGTAGTTGACTAATTGATTAATTGAACTATTCCTACTCTAATTACTCATTAAGCCTTTAATTACTTGAATCAGGTGTGCCATTTCAGAGTTAAAACAAAAACATGGCCTGTCAGGGGGTCCCTGCAGGAGCAGTTAAAGGCACAGTGAGGAAAGAGCTGATTCTGCAATGTATAGTGTTGTTTTACCTTGGATGCATGTAAACCTATTGGTAGAGTATCCAAAACAAAATTAGGAACCTTTAAAATGGCATAATGAGGGTAATTAAGATAAACAGAAAAGGCATGTGTGTGTTTTGCGAGGCTCTTTCCCTGTAGCAGCAGCTGGGGCTGAGCTGACTGTGGACTCGCAGAAACATCAGGGCCAAACGGGAGATTACATTCAGAAATTTACATACAGGTCAGAATGCATGACTAATTGTGTTAGTTATTTCACATTATTTAATGTGAAAAAAATATTTATAATCACACTACTACATTAACATTAAATTGACAGACCTGAAAAAAAAACAGACTTTGTGAGAAGACGCAAGATTACATCAACCATATTTAACAGATTCATCCAGTTTCTCTGTACATAAACTTTCTTTATCAGTCCCATAGCATCCCACACGTGAAGAATCTATAGTGTGAAGGTTTAGGGAGTTTTCCAGCTGCGCCTGTTCTTCTCCGCAGTCTGCGGGTCATCCCTCCCTTCACACACCTCTCATTAGCCCACACACACACACAGATCCCGCTGGTGCTTCTCTTTCTGTGCGTGCCAGTCATGCAAATATTGGTGCAGGGATTGCTACACACTGGTTAATTCCAAAAGGCTCTCCGTCTAAACCGTACACACCAAAACGAGCTATATTTTGAACATCACCCAGTGGTACCCAAGTCCCATTGTCTCAAAGTAGCCGCTGCAAAGATGCAACTCAATGTCAAATTCTCAAAAAAATTGTGCATCCAAAAATCCCTCTCGCTCATGACCTTTCATGTTTATTCGCATTTAAGCTATAGTAATCGTGTTGCTATAATTCATAAGCCTCCACCCTACATGCATCCAAGTTGCTGTGCCTGTCCCCATGTGCACGAATGCTGAGCGCCGGCTTCTCTGACTGCCTGCTTTGTCTGAGCGCTGGAGAATAAAGGACACGGTGGCGGCTCGTACAGCGGGCTATTGAATGCAATGGGTGTGTGTGTGTTTAAATGCGTCTGAAGAAATGTTTGCTCTTACCTGCAGCACTAGAGTCTGCCTGAGCCTCCATTAAGTCTCTCGTAGCGGCCGGTGCAATGCTGTTTGGCGTCGCAGCCAGGATTAGAGGGAGCGCCTCCTGTCTCGTGTACTCTCTCTCTCGCTCTCTCGCTCTCGCTCTCTCTCTCTCTCTCTCTCTCTCTCTCGCTCTCTCTCTCTCCTCTCTCTCTCTCTCTCTCTCTCTCTCGCTCTCTCTCTCTCTCTCTCTCTCTCTCGCTCTCTCTCTCTCTCTCGCTCTCGCTCTCGCTCTCGCTCTCTCTCTCTCTCTCTCTCTCTCTCTCTCTCTCTCTCTCTCTCTCTCTCTCTCTCTCTCTCTCTCTCTCTCTCTCTCTCTCTCTCTCTCTCTCTCTCTCTCTCTCTCTCTCTCTCTCTCGCTCTCTCTCTTCCCCACCCCTACATGCACAGTCACACATTCACTGCTATTGTCACTGCAGCACGCACAACACTGACACATGAAGAGTCCCGCTGGAGAAACGCAGTCAGCCACTACACAACTGCATGACACACCAAAACGGGGAAGAGAGCGAGGGAGGGGTGCGCCCATAGACAATAAAAAGGGTTGATATACACAAAAAAAATGCTGGGTTATTTTAACCCAATTTTGGGTCAAATATGGATAAACCCTGCCATTGGGTTACATTGTTTTATTACATTTTTTACCCAATGTTTGACTTTGTCCATATTTGACCCAAAATTGGGTCAAAACAACCGAACATTTTTTTAGAGTGTATAAGCAGAGGTGTACTGATCCAGAACAGGCTTGGAAATAATGATGAAGTGAGGGAAAAAAAGAGGAATATCTGAGTTTAGATGATTATAATTCATTTTTGTTCATTCAAATATATATATATATATATATATATATATATATATATATATATATATATATATATAAAGATTTTATGCATTGAACAGCCATTGGCTAATAGTCGTAGTAGTTGAAGGCCAGAACAATTGTCTGAGTACAGATGCTTAGCACATGGTCCCATTAAAGTTCAGTCGGGTAGTAACAACTCCAGTACTCAAGGGGGCGATAAGGTTACTTTCAAATGTCTGTGCCGTAATTCAGGAAGCTAGCGCCATAAACATCGACTTCATCTCAAATTTGACGCTTTCCACTCAGTGATTCAAGAAACTAAGCTTTTCGAAGCTTTGAATCAATTGAACCAATTTCTTCGCAAAATTATTCATTTTCGAAGTGCTCGAAAATCGTGTAAATGCGTCGATAACTCAGCCCAAACATGCAAAAAACTATTTTTTACAAACTAATTGCTTCGGATGCACCGATAGGAACATTTTGGACGATACCGATAACCGATAATTCTTTATATTTGAAAGCCGATAACCGATATATATATATTGGCCGATAAATCTAATTCCAAATTTTTGTATAATTTTTGAGAGCCTGATTACAGAAACAAAAGTCTCACCATTAAAAGCCACGTCCCAAACACACAATTATAATGTCCTCGTTATATTTGTATGTAGCCTATATGACAGCACATTACTGTATTTTCCTTTTTTGAAGTGATTCCAATCATATTTCAAGCAATTCACAGTTCTCTTCAGTAAGCATTCAGACACACATGTAGACATTATAAAATCGTTTTTTGGTTTTTGGTCAAGTTTGAGCATTTTTAGGTTTTTCTATGTGTACTGAAGCATTCCTCCCATTTCATTAATTCCTTAGAGGTCAAATTGAAATTTTTAAAATTTAAACCACAAAAATCCTCGAATCCATTACATTTTTGTGTGTGTATTTGTGGTTCAAGTGCAACAAAAGTCCTCTGATGAACACTCAATAAATAAATATATTTAAAAAAGAGTTTCGGGTCGGCAAGATCAGAAACTGGGCTACGTCTGAGACGGTCGACGGTCCACTGGTATTACAGTAAATGGCAGAAATTGCAACGGCCCATATGGCGGCTCCAGTAAAATAATTCTCGTCTTCCAAAGAAAAGAACCAATCTGCAAAATCCCAACCTGTGCACAACCACAAAGGTGATGGTTCTTGATGTTTGATGACGGCATCATGACGCTACTGTTGGGTTTGCCTGATTGAAGAGGCTAAACTCCCAAAGATAGCCACCAAACTAACTGACTCGCCTGGAAAGACTTCTCCTCGAATGGTCAATAAGAGAAAACTGACCATTAAAGACGGTTTACGCCAACAATCGCCCCCTTGTGGCAATGCTGAGAATACATGTGTGCTTGTGATGCACTGTGAAATGTGCTCTGAAAATGCAAACACTTTGAGTTAGTGTAGCTATACACGTTATCATACACACACTTTGTTTTACAGGCTTATGTTTCAAAGCTGGATGACTAACTGGTATTTAATGATTGAACATATTCATACACAAATAAATGGATACAGTCTAATGAGCGTTGGACTTACTGTGGCTATAATACAATTAAAGATATCCATAAACAGAAATGAATGTTAGTTGACTGAGACCTCAGTTTTGGGACATCATCAGGTCTGTTACTGTGCTTGTTTTTAAGGTGCCAAGGCTGATCCTCACAGGTATGTGGTGCCAAACTGGATTAACGTCAGCAGATAGCCGAGCAGATCTTCCATCTGTTGATCCAAAATGGTCATCATGATTCCCTCAAAAAGCACATTGTTGCCATTAATAGCCTGTACTCTCATTAAAGCCAAGTACTCTACATTATGTCAACCATGATCCATTCAAATCTTTTCAAGTCAACATAAAACCAGAATTCACAAGCCATTTTACTTCTGTAATATGACATATTTCATAGTGAGACGGGATATTCAATGAGAAAATTATTGTCTATCAGAAATTGACATGACAGAGAAACTATAGCTAAAAATATTTTATTTTTTGCCTCAAAACAAAGTTTGTTTGCAACACTTTCCTTTCATGACCACGTCCTTCCAAAAAGTTTTCTGTTATTGCACAATATTGCCAGGAATTTAAATTCTGTTGTCTTGTTGAATTAATGAGGTTTTATGATGCTCTCTCAACTTGTTGTGTGTTTACGTTACAACAAGAAGAAAATCCTGGATATGGATATCATCATCTTCCATCATCCACAGAAGAATTGCATGAATATCAAATGACTGGTTGATGGTTAATTTAAGCGCTTCAAGTAGCAGTGCTTTGTGCCAGTGCTGGTTAAGTTAAATGCTATGTTATTGGTTAAAGTCAGCATGCAGCAGAAGTTGCGCTCGTCGTTCCTTCTCTATTGTGTCGTATATTCGAGTGAAACGCTTCTGGATAGAGAACAAATGTGGGCGGGCCTGATTTGTCTGTGAGGAAATAAAAGGCCATTCAGATGCTGCAAAAGGTGCAAATCATAAGCTTCCTAAATCAAACGGAGCATGTGAAGTCATTTGCAACTTGAATGTGTCTGGCTTCCGGTGTAGTTTAATATTCAGTTCCTGTTAGGGTTAGGTAAACTGTTCTATGGGAGGAGCATACGTGCATATTCATGAAAAACTGTTCCAATGGACGGAGCATACGTGCATATTCATGAAAAACTGTTCTATGGGCGGAGCATACATGCATTATCATGAAAAACTGTTCTATGGGCGGAGCATACGTGCATATTCATGAAAAACTGTTCTATGGGCGGAGCATACGTGCATTATCATGAAAAACTGTTCTATGGGCGGAGCATACGTGCATATTCATAAAAAACTGTTCCTATGGGCGGAGCATACGTGCATATTCATGAGAAACTGTTCCAAAAGGCGGAGCATACGTGCATATTCGTAAAAAACTGTTCCATTGGGCGGAGCATACATGCATATTCATGAGAAACTGTTCCAATGGGCGGAGCATACGTGCATATTCGTAAAAAACTGTTCCAATGGGCGGAGCATACGTGCATATTCGTAAAAAACTGTTCCAATGGGCGGAGCATATGTGCATATTCGTAAAAAACTGTTCCAATGGGCGGAGCATACGTGCATATTCATGAGAAACTGTTCCAATAGGCGGAGCATACGTGCATATTCGTAAAAAACTGTTCCAATGGGCGGAGCATACATGCATATTCATGAAAAATGGTTCCAATGGGCGGAGCATACGTGCATATTCATGAAAAACTGTTCTATGGGCGGAGCATACGTGCATATTCATGAGAAACTGTTCCAATAGGCGGAGCATACGTGCATATTCGTAAAAAACTGTTCCTATGGGCGGAGCATACATGCATATTCATGAAAAACGGTTCCAATGGGCGGAGCATACGTGCATATTGATGAAAAACTGTTCTATGGGCGGAGCATACATGCATTATCATGAAAAACTGTTCTATGGGCGGAGCATATGTGCATATTCATGAAAAACTGTTCCAATAGACGGAGCATACGTGCATGTTCATGAAAAACTGTTCTATGGGCGGAGCATACATGCATATTCATGAAAAACGGTTCCAATGGGCGGAGCATACGTGCATATTCATGAAAAACTGTTCTATGGGCGGAGCATATGTGCATATTCATGAGAAACTGTTCCAATAGGCGGAGCATACGTGCATATTCGTAAAAAACTGTTCCTATGGGCGGAGCATACATGCATATTCATGAAAAACGGTTCCAATGGGCGGAGCATACGTGCATATTCATGAAAAACTGTTCTATGGGCGGAGCATACGTGCATTATCATGAAAAACTGTTCTATGGGCGGAGCATACGTGCATATTCATGAAAAGCAGTTCCAATGGGCGGAGCATACGTGCATATTCATGAAAAACTGTTCTATGGGCGGAGCATACGTGCATTATCATGAAAAACTGTTCTATGGGCAGAGCATACGTGCATATTCATGAAAACCTGTTCCAATGGGCGGAGCATACGTGCATATTCATGAAAAACTGTTCTATGGGCGGAGCATACGTGCATATTCATGAAAACCTGTTCTGATATGCGGAGCATACGTGCATATTCATATTCAATGCATATTCAATGGACGGAGCATACGTGGATTATCATGAAAAACTGTTCTATGGGCGGAGTATACGGGCATATTCATGAAAAACTGCTCCAATGGACGGAGCATACGTGCATATTCATGAAAAACTGCTCCAATGGACGGAGCATACGTGCATATTCATGAAAAACTGCTCTATTGGAGGAGCATACGTGCATATTCATGAAAAACTGCTCCAATGGACGGAGCATACGTGCATATTCATGAAAAACTGCTCCAATGGACGGAGCATACGTGCATATTCGTGAAAAACTGTTCCAATGGGCGGCACATATACGTGCATATTCATGAAAAACTGTTTCAATGGGTGGCGCATACGTGCATATTCATGAAAACCTGTTCCAATGGGCAGAGCATACGTGCATATTCATGAAAACCTGTTCCAATGGGCGGAGCACACGTGCATATTCATGAAAACTTGTTCCAATGGGCAGAGCATACGTGCATATTCATGAAAAACTGCTCCAATGGGCAGAGCATACGTGCATATTCATGAAAACCTGTTCCAATGGGCGGAGCATACGTGCATATTCATGAAAACCTGTTCCAATGGGCGGAGCATACGTGCATATTCATGAAAAACTGTTCCAATGGGCGGAGCATACGTGCATATTCATGAAAACCTGTTCCAATGGGCGGAGCATACGTGCATATTCATGAAAACCTGTTCCAATGGGCGGAGCATACGTGCATATTCATGAAAAACTGTTACAATGGGCGGAGCATACGTGCATATTCATGAAAACTTGTTCCAATGGGCAGAGCATACGTGCATATTCATGAAAACCTGTTCCAATGGGCGGAGCATACGTGCATATTCATGAAAAACTGCTCCAATGGGCGGAGCATACGTGCATATTCATGAAAAACTGTTCCAATGGGCGGAGCATACCTGCATATTCATGAAAACTTGTTCCAATGGACGGAGCATACGTGCATATTCATGAAGAACTGCTCCAATGGGCGGAGCATACATGCATATTCATGAAAAACTGCTCCAATGGGCGGAGCATACGTGCATATTCATGAAACTCTGTTCCAATGGGCGGAGCATACGTGCATATTCATGAAGAACTGCTCCAATGGGCGGAGCATACATGCATATTCATGAAAAACTGCTCCAATGGGCGGAGCATACGTGCATATTCATGAAAATCTGTTCCAATGGGCGGAGCATACGTGCATATTCATGAAAACCTGTTCCAATGGGCAGAGCATACGTGCATATTCATGAAAACCTGCTCTAATGGGCGGAGCATACGTGCATATTCATGAAAAACTGCTCTAATGGGCGGAGCATACGTGCATATTCATGAAAATCTGTTCCAATGGGCGGAGCATACGTGCATATTCATGAAAACCTGCTCTAATGGGCGGAGCATACGTGCATATTCATGAAAAACTGCTCTAATGGGCGGAGCATACGTGCATATTCATGAAAAACTGCTCCAATGGGCGGAGCATACATGCATATTCATGAAAAACTGCTCTAATGGGCGGAGCATACGTGCATATTCATGAAAAACTGCTCCAATGGGCGGAGCATACGTGCATATTCATGAAGAACTGCTCCAATGGACGGAGCATACGTGCATATTCGTGAAAAACTGCTCTAATGGGCGGAGCATACGTGCATATTCATGAAGAACTGCTCCAATGGGCGGAGCATACGTGCATATTCATGAAAAACTGCTCTAATGGGCGGAGCATACGTGCATATTCATGAAAAACTGCTCCAATGGGTGGAGCATACGTGCATATTCACGAAGAACTGCTCCAATGGGCGGAGCATACGTGCATATTCATGAAGAACTGCTCCAATGGGCGGAGCATACGTGCATATTCACGAAAAACTGCTCCAATGGGCGGAGCATACGTGCATATTCATGAAGAACTGCTCAAATGGGCGGAGCATACGTGCATATTCACGAAGAACTGCTCCAATGGGCGGAGCATACGTGCATATTCATGAAGAACTGCTCCAATGGGCGGAGCATACGTGCATATTCACGAAGAACTGCTCCAATGGGCGGAGCATACGTGCATATTCATGAGAAACTGTTCCAATGGGCGGAGCATACGTGCATATTCATGAAAACCTGTTCCAATGGACGGAGCATACGTGCATATTCATGAGAAACTGTTCCAATGGGCGGAGCATACGTGCATATTCATGAAAACCTGTTCCAATGGACGGAGCATAAGTGCATATGGTTACCTATTCTTCTAGGTATTTACCTATAATGGCTAATGAATCGGAAGTCTTGTTTATATATTCTTAAATTTATAATTAATTTTTAAAACAGCTGTTTAAAATCAACAAACAACCACTGGGGGATGAAAACATTTGAAATCTTTGACCTACACCTTATCTTCTTTGATAGACAATCTCACAGTGTTCCGCATGTGTGGTGTTCTCTGTGAGAGTGCCACATATCCCCAGAGCAGCTCGTCCCCCCGCTGTCGCAGAGACGGCTCTGACTCCTGAAGCAACTCCCACGGATCTCTCTCTCTTCCTGAGAGATTCAAGAGAATATCGCGTTTCATCTTTCTGTGTGGTGCTTCGCTCGATTACAGCGGCAGGCAGGAATAGGGTGGTGCAGGTATGACATCACTTCTTAGGCCAGAACGCCAAAACGAGTTTCATCGTCCCGGGTTTTTTGAGTGGGGTTTTGGTTAAATGGCTGAAATAAGGTCTGTGATGAACACAAGCTCAAGACACTTTTATTCTAGGATATAAAACATCAGTACTGCCCCACTCGTGATTTATTGAGCCGTTACGTGTCTTGAAAAAGGCGGTTGCTAACAAGTGGCTAAATGCGACGACAGAGTCTGTCGAGGAGATAAACGTCATCAGCCGAACAGCTAAACTCAGTCCACCGTTACAGCCTCCTCGTTATGCAGACCTCTGCACTGTAGTGGACATTATATTGAGGGAATTTACGGTTTTACACGGGATGTCCTGTAAAGAGCAGATTCAGGGCTTTTCAGAGACACTAAATGTTCAGAGGTTTCACAGGACAAACACTTCTGATTGGCCTTTAAAATGACTGGCATTAATTTAGCGATCAAGTTAAGCACTCTTATGGAAATATGATAATGTTTTGTAATGATCATTTTCAAATTGTTTGTTGTAAATCAACATAAAAGGAAAATGTTACAGGGTTTCTAATCAAAATATGACTTTCTGTTACAGAACAGGGCCTTGATTTCTTACGTCCACAAGAGGACACCAGGACTGCATGTTTATCAGGCATTCTGGGAGACACAAGTGCAATTATACATCAATATTGAAATATTAGATATTATAAGGAAAATGTTGCCAATTATTACTCCCATTATTACACTTCTTTTTTCATTACATGTTGCCCCAGGAACACATTATTATGCAGATTAGATACGGTGTCTGTGTATAGGCTGCATTGTATTGAATGGGAAAACACATTTATTGCCATTTTAAGTTTGGTTAAAAAAAAATCCTGAAACCTAAAAATTGATTGGCGAATGAAAAAAAATCCCTTTGTTTTTGCCTATACATGTAATTTTATGTAATTTTATTTTTTAAACAAGTGAGTCCTGGAGTCACTACAGTGGATATAGCATACCAAATGAATAAAATATAATTTTCCAAAAATGTCTCAGGAGTATATAATTGTGCTCTTATAAACTGTTCTAACTCAAACGTTCTGGGAAAATGTGTTTAGATAAAAACTGAAAGAGTTGTCGGAAGCTTAGTGGCGGTGACGTTGAAGTCGTGGGACCGCTGTGTAGTTCGTTTATAGCTCTTCTGGCGACTGCATTCATGCTTCAAAATTCATAAAAGTTGTGTTCATCTGTGACAATTATCTTTATGGACAAAACGTGCAAATATCATAAACATTTTGGCCAACAAATTTACGTCGGTCGTACCCGCACCACTCTATGACAGACGACGAACAGCTGACGTCATCACTGACCGCGTCACGCGGGTAGGAAGTGACATCATCATCAGGAACGACCGACGACGTACAGCTGACGTCATCACTGATTGCGTCACGCGTGGAGGGAGTGACATCATCAGCAGCAGCAGCAGCAAAGAGCATTTAACAGGATCCATAAGACTGATGACTTTAGTCAATTCAGTTAATTTCTCAAAGCAAATGCTTTATACATTTTACAAGATCCGTACGTGAACAAAACTTTGCATGAATTAAAGTGTATTTATTGTTACTTTAATAAAGCAAAGAATACACTTTGCTGTAGTGTATCATATCAAATTATATATATTAACTATAATTAAACTAGTGAATTGATAAAAAGGTGTCAGGAACAATAGATGAACAGTAGGCCTAATAATCACTGCAACTAATCATATCCAAATAATAATTCAGATACACTCAATAATAATTTGGTAGACAAAGTCTAACACTTACTATGTCAGTTACAGTCGAACAATAATATTCTGTCAGATACAGTCGGGAATCGTGCGCATGCGCAGAAAGGGGGGAGGAGTCGCTGAAAAAGGTGAATGGCTCTAATGGCTGGCTAGCTAATCAGATGGAGAAAAAAACACATTAAAATGTTCCTGAGTGTGAATTTCACTACTATACATGTGTTGTAAACCCTTTATAAGGATTTTATGATTGAAAGCATCTCTCTTTCTATATGCATTGCTCTTTAAGCCGAGAGTGATAGAGTCGTTTCCTCTGATCTCATGAGGCTTTAGCATGCTAGCATGCCCTCTGATTTTATATCTCTCCTGAGCGCCGATATCGACCCTGGTTCTCCTAAATCACTCTATTCCAAAGGTAAGAACGTGTTTTTATGATACTACGTCCTTTCTTCATTCATTTAGGTTTGCATGCGTCTTCACGGAGGGTTTAGTTGTGGATACATATGAAGAATTGCTAACGTTACTTAGCACGAGAGGAGAGCACGCGCTAGCTGTGTGTATTTATAAATGTGTGAATATGTATGAGTGTAAATGTGAGTCTATGTATGCGTGTGTTTGTGTGTGTGAGTCTATATAAATGCGTGTGCGTGTGTGTATTCGCGTGTGTGTGTATGTGTGTGTGTGTGAGAGAGAGAGAGTGGGTGTGTGTTTGTTTACCTTTACACACATTATAAGTGACTCGTGGCTCCGAGACAACCAAGGTTTGTTGTCGAACACCAAACAAGTATTTCGGACACACACTGTTGTTATGGTGTTTTATATACACTGACTTTGAAGTGCTATAAAAGTTGGACTAGTGCCATGATGGATGATGCTACTGATCCACACCTATCATAATTAATATTTCATCTGCCAACAGCAAGACATTGAGCTTGACAGCTAACATGTTGCTGAATATAGCTGGCAGTGTTTGTCATAAGAAGGTAAGCACATAACAGACCTGACTTGAGCATATGATGTTCATATGTTGATATGATGAGGACAGTTAGAGGCGTATGTACAATAAGCCAGTCATTTGTAATGTTGATGACAGGTACAGATTCATATTTATCCTGTGGTGAGCCAATGGGAAGTGGATAACATCCCTTTTTGGGGTTTATGTGCCGATAATGATGCAGATTTGAATATAAACTAAATGTTTTAGATTTACCAATTCATCTACAATGTGTTAAGCTCTTTAAAGTTGTGGATTCTGGTTTGCTGTCAATGTTTTTACTTTTATCATTCATAAGCTGGAAAACACCAATATCTTTCCTCTGTGTCGTGCAGTTGTGGTGTGGACTTTGTTTTTCTCATAGACTTTTAATGATTAAATGTTATCGTTCTGGGGAAAAACCCATTCACACCAGACGAATTTTCAGAATTTGTCTGTCCAGATTAATAGATAATAATAATAATAATAATAATAATAATAATAATAGATTTGGCAGACGCCAGACGGGCTGAATGAAAATGAAAATGCAAATCCTCTGTCTGACACCAATGGCGATTACAGCAGAAATGGGCATGAGGTTTATAAACGTGGTTTTGCACATTATCCTCCGCCTCACGCACGGTTAAACGCTTTCAAAGTTTACTCCATTGACCACAATAGCGGATGGACATGTTAGTAGAGTTGAGATACTGAGATGCCACTGTATTTTTAATCGGTAGTATGGTCAATAATATGGTAGTTCTGTAAGTAGAGCTGCACGATTAATCGCTAAAAGATTGCGATTTCGGTTCAAACACCTGCACATCTCATTCCTAAATGACAACGTTTCAGTTCTGTCTATTAAAACTTTGACAAAAGCAAAACCACACTGGAACATTCAGATCTGAATGTTATAAAAGTCTTTTCAACCATTATCTTACAATAATTCAGATTATCCTAAAAGAACTGGGATAAAAGTGTATAATTCGGATTTAAACACTGTCTACGGTAGCGATAGAAATAGAGTAAATAACCTTTTGAAAGGAACTTGATGCTTTAAATAAATAATGTATCAGTAGGATCGTTACACCAGTAGGTGGCGACAGGAGACTGATAAAAGATTGAATCCTTCGTTCAGGAGATTCGTTCAAAAACGCTGATTCATCCAGTAATGAAACAAGTGAAGTCTTTATGAGTGAGTCATTGAATCATTCACCCAACCTGATTTAACAAAGATTCAGATTAAACATTTTAAATCGACTGCAGTTTATCAGGAGAAAGGGACTGAAAAGATTTTTAATAGATCAGCTCAATCATCACTTTTCAATCAACATCATAATATCTTCATCAGTGTCTCATTCTGGGCTCAACATAAAAAAAAATCCCCACTGGCCCCCGGGGCCAGTAGATCAGAGTTTTGCTGGCCCCTTCTATATTTTGACTGGCCCTGAAAGAAATAAACTGTATTTATTGTATACATTAGGATTAATCAAAACAGCGAAGGGAGTTCAGGAATTAAGAGAGAGCCCCTGGACACATGCAAAAATAACCAAATGTCAGTGTGCAGTAAATTTGTCAATACCTGCTTTCTCCTCATCTCCCTCTCTCTTTTTTTCTCAGTCTCCTCATCTTACTTATTAAAGCTAAAGTTATTCATTCAAGAGAGCTGCGAGTGATTTTCTTTGTGCCTTTTGTTGTTTGATTCTCAGTAATGGCGTGATCGTCAGCATGTTTATTAGACTGCTTCCCCTTTAAGAACGAGTGCAGATCTAATAGTCTACTGATGCACCATATTTTCTCCCAACTATTTCCATAACTGCGTCCATTTTAGACATAAACTGTTTAAGTGAATCTCCAAGCCAGTCATTTTGACACATTTGTGTGTACATTTGATCGTTTAGACCCGCACATGAAGCCCAAAGTATAATTTGCTTGTCTCGTTACGGTATGTTTCGGAGCGCGCGCTGCATTGGGAACCGCATCTCTTGGCAGATTTTTGTGCTTTTAATAGCTCTTTTTATTATTAAACGCGTCCCGCAATTTAGCAACAGACGAGACTGCATTTTACAACAATCACCGATCGTGCTGATTCTGTCTTAAAGTTTGAGTTTTAAGGAGAAATGACAGTGTACTGCTGCGAAGGGAAGGAAGTTGCGCTAGACAGAATGCAGTTTTTAATGGTTTTACCTCAAATATATTCTATAATCTTTGGAAGCCGAAATCTAAAATAAAATCATACTAATATCACAGATCTAAAGTGTAACCATAACTTGAATGTTTAGTTCTGTCCTCCGTCAGGTGTTGTGCGTGTTGTGGCACCGCGTGAGATCTCTCTCTCTTCTGGACTGCGCGAATAGCAAAAATGCATCACAGACAAATGGTTTAATTTTATTATAGAAATGGCTGGCGACTCAGCGAGATGGTAAAAAAAAAAAAAAAAACGTCTTTATAGCAATAATAAATGATAGCCTACGTGTATTTCTCCAGTACCGACAGCAGAACCGATAACGTCCGAGCTTATCGATACAGCGCGGTCTTTCAAAATTCAGTCCCGTTTAATACAGGGTTTCGGTACTCTTTCTCGTATTAGCCTCGTAGTTCTTTGACATTTTAACACGTTATAAATAACCTGAAGAAACATTGACACTCTTCGCGCCACTGTGTATGACGTTTGCTGTTTGTTTTGCTGATGGCCAGTTACTGGCCCGCGCGGGCAAGTGACTGGCCAATCAACTAGCCCGACATAGACTTTTACTGGCCCCGGGCCATCGGGCCATTGCTTATGTCGAGCCCTGGGAGCACGTCTGAGTTTCTAGAAGCATCTTTGCAATTACGAATCAATGCAATTCCTTTGATTAACAGCGGCATTTGAATCATATAAATCCTTATAACGTGATTTTAACATTATAAATCAAATATATCTTTTAATATACATCCTGCCCTCCAGTCAGAGTGGGAAATGTCAAGGTATGGGGGCAAAACAGACGTTAATTTCAATTAAAGTCGGCCGAATTGCCCTGGAAACCACACACAGCGTCCTTGCATGAGTTTTGCATGAGGAGAACAGCACACACGTTCTTCAGGACAGGACTAAAGCTAGTATAGTGATCGGTCTCAAGCTGTTTGACCTGGGTCACATGGCCTTTGTGTTCGATTCACTCCACCCAACTTTGTAGTGACAGACGTGTTTAATAGTTCCTAGGAACTGCTTTGTAGAAGATTGTTTTCATTATGCGGTGCCACCTGCGTTTAGTGGAGGTTTCACAAGCCAGCGCTCAACGATGAAGTGTGTAATTATTGTGACACTTTTCCAGCTTCAAGAGCAGTTTTTCTGTCCTTTCGGATTCTTTTGAACAGATTTAATCCCTGCAATATAAAACGCTGCCTTGGCCGAGGAGAATCGGACGATCCCATTATCTCTTTGTCGTCCAGGGATGCGGAGTGTTAAAATAGCAGGAATGCCGGACACGTGGGGTTGGGCTTCACTACAGGCACCAGGGCTCGTATTTACTGTGATCCAGGGTCCCGTTTCCATCTCCGCGCTCGTCCACTGTTCCCTGTGCCAGAATGCTATGCTGATAGTCATGCAATGGCACGCTTTATTAATGGGCTACAAAATATAGAGCTTAAACTCTTAAAACGGTCCAATTTTTGATCTTCAACAAAGTCAGAAAATATTGTTCTTCCACCTAGGCATTTTTTCACAGCTTTTATTATTTTTGGTTATTTTGGCTTAATTATATATATATATATATACTTTCTATCAATGTGACTATCAATTTTTCTATTTCTATAATTTTTTTTATTTAAAACTTTACTTCACAGCAAATAATAAACACTTTTTAAACACATTTTAAAACCTTGACTTTTCATGTTTTCTAACAACATTTTTAAACATAGGAGCGTATAATATAAAGTAATATGACAGAACAAGTAACAGGACTGCAGATTTAACACTTCAGGAGCTATCTGGTTTGGGGCAAAATGTTGATTCATAGTTAATAACTTCACAATTTAATAAATAAAATAATTTATTTTTTATGTTACATTTTTAATAGGGGAAATGATCCTACGATTTTCCTTAAAGTCCCCCTGTAGTCAATAATTGTATCCCTTAAAACTCAACTTTTATCATCAAATTGACTAATTTAATTGTTTTTTCCATGAAAAAAATGTCTTCATGTCTTAAAATATCTGCAATGTAACTCGACACCCTTGCCTCATTTAGTATGCGCGGTTCTATGAATATGCAAATGAGCCCCGCCTCCACTCACTCCCTCCCTCAGCTCAGAGATCCACTGGTTGACGATCACACGTTGATCTGATTGGTTACAAGGTCGTTTGTGACGTCAGAAACACCAGCGATTTCACACCGTGTTTTTGAGACTGTCTTTGGTTCACTGCAGTTTTAAGGAGGAAATACTCAGCAATGCTGTCGACTT